CTCTCACATCAGGAGTACTTCAAAGGAACCTATGTTTTGATTCCCATAACCGGGGTCGTATCCGCTAGTTCGATATTCAGCGTTCATGGCCACAAGTGAGGGTAATGCGGTTGCTTGCAAGGCAGAGATACCACTGTTGCGAAACTGTTAACGACCATAGTTACTGAATGACAGGCAGAACTTAAAACATCGAGTCCTGAAGCTAGACTCAATCACGCATGGCTTCCGAAAGTAACCTCTAGTTAGGATGAACAAAACGTTTGGATGGATTTCGTATTCAGCTCTCTGGTCCCTTTGAAAGTAACGAATTCAGATATTTTTCTTTTCATGTAGTTTAATTCACATTAGCTCAAAACGATTTGCATATATTGCCCAAACGGTCAAAACTAAACGCAAAATCCAATCATAAAAAATCTCTGAAAAACTCAAAGCGCTATGAACAATAGGCATTTTCAACTATAATAATGTTCATCTCAAATTCATGTGCTATCTTCAAACACTGGTGATTAATTTCGCGTTCAGCTAGTCTACGGTTAAACTCGAATTTAGGCAAATTTGGGCATACACAGATTATGCTGAAAACACTCATAATTATAAAATGTTAATTACTAAGTCTATACGTTACTCGTACGTCACCTAACTGAAATCTTCCGCAAGGCAGACAGCTCGCGTGAGGCATGGACGCCATCCTCAGTCCTCAGCCCCTGTTCAGTACTATTGAACACAGATGTGCTATTCGCTTGTACCTATGCATTTTGATAATGCCTAGGGTTTGCTGCGCTGTGGTAGAATACAGCCATTGCTGATAAAAGTGAACCTATTCGCAATTGCATCTGAACTGATCTAGAAACGGAAATGAAAACTATAAAGAAATTGCGGTGGACAAAACTTAATGCCTGATCTTGGTCTCGCATGATCAACAGTGATGGCAGTAATGGAGGATGTTGCCCGTATAAAGGAATATGTGAAAAGATTTGCCTCCCTTGCCACTGTTCGGTCATCGCTTGATAATTTAATAAGGAAGGCCGAGATGACCAATTGGAGCATTTTCTATTTTCTCACAATATTTATACGACGTTATCAGTTACGTCTGGAAATCTAATTTGTGTAGGCATTCTGTGAATAAAACTGACAGAAATAAGTTTTAAAGCATGTCTGTGCGCTCACCATAAACACGTAAACAGTAGGGCGTTATTAACGGGTGGAAGTTACCTGAGTCTGATACGTAAAACTCGTGTATCTCTTATGTATATCACGGTATGTGCTTATTTCTCTTTTGTATTTCAAGCTTTAAATAATGAACGCAAGCGATGCATACCTGTAAGTATAAGCATAAGGAGAAGGGTGTTTTCAGATGACAGCTTTATGCATATGTTTCATAATCCTCTTATTTTTCACTGATGAACTGTGGTGCATCAAGCCGAGAAGGCAAGAAGTCGGTCGGTTACCCATAAATTATTCCAAAACCATGGCAATATCAAAGTTTGTCAGATTTGTGATGACAACAGTGACCTATTCCGCCCGTAAAACGCCTGCCGTCCATTTTAATTTTCCTGAAAGGTTATCCATGTGCATAGGAGGGAATCGTAAGTTAAGAAAACAGTACAGTGAACCTACAGCTGAAACGAAGCGTGTGAACCGTTGAGTTCAAAATGGCATTATTTCTAATTCGCAGCATAAATTACCATGCAAAAACCCATGCATAGATGAAATTGATTAATGGGCTGCTTTTCGAATGTTAATAATTCAAAAATTACAAAAAATAATTAATTAGTACCTCGTAAGCAATAGTTCGAATATTTAAGCCTTAACCCATCTGTGTCAGCAGTCAAGAGCGGTTCGAAGTACATCTCAAAATGCCGATGGCTCTCGCTGATTGTTTTGTGCCAGATTACTTGGACAATGGTTCAATTTTATCCCTATTACTTTGCTTTTACCTAAAGACAGCGTTACCCCAATTTATTAAGCACTATGCAAGTTATTGCCCAATGTCGAAAATCATTTTCTGATATGAGCAACAGGCGAAAGCTAGTCAGTATTGATAACTGCTTATTATCTCAGGTCATGGAGGGAGACAAGTCAGAGAGTGTGTCAAGCGTTCCCGACTCTGTGCCAGCACCAGCGCATCGACAGAAGATAGCCAGAGCTTGGATCACTGTCCCTTCTAGACAATTGCCCCAGGTTATTGTTGGCCGTCCAAATGGGACCTTCGGCCGATCGGTTAAGCAAGAAGTAGCTGTTTCGCCTTCCCTTTTGGAAGCATTCGCAAATCGTGCCCAGCCTCTCGCAACCATCATTTTCCAATCTGGAAAAGTAGCGGATATACACTAAAGCTTTCTTGGATATCTGAACTCTGTCGAGAAGCTTGAGCCCAGCGATTGTGTGAACAAGCTGGATAGCGCTTTTCCAGTCATGGTTAATTATCATGGGCGAGAATGAGGATAAAGACAGGCGAAAGTGAGCATGGTGTCATTAATGCTTCTGTCACGGCCTACGTCTATGGTTTTACGAAATTACGATACTTTGGTTATACATGTAAGCCGACACTGAAGCAACATTACATCTATCACGTGCCGTTGATCGTTGTTAGCATCTTTGAGAAGAAGCAGCGTTGCTCAGATTGACTGTTTCACTGGTGAAAATGTCTAATCATCTTTTCTACTATGTCTTAACGCTGCCGAAGAAAAGAATCGTATTTCTCATCGATGATTAAGATCTATCTCTAATAGAACTGCCCTTTCCTTCAATACGTTCACCACAAGCAGATGTACGATTCTTCTGAGAAAAGACTTTTGATCAAGCTTCCATTTTCTTTCCGAACAGCCGTCATCTATGACCGTCTGACAACGTCTCAGAGTAGTGATTTTACTGCATGTCGCTGTTGCATTTTATTGAATCAAGCATTCAACTTTTCAGGGCTAGAAGAACTAGAAGGCGTGACTATTTTTGGAACTGTGATCTCCGTTTCTGCTCATTTAACTTCTCCTAAAATAACTAATGCCTGCTCAGACAGACAATGACGCACAAATGTGCTCATCGTATATCTTTTTGTCGACTTTAAAGGTCTTAAAGCGCAATTGTGAGGAGAACGAGAAGCATCGATCGATTCTTGTTACACGGTGCTGTGCACATTAAACATTACGGTGTTTTCAGGACGTGCGATGATGACGAAGGAATGCGTTAGCGTCACCCATCGAACGAACAAACCTACCGACCACAACAGTGATTTGACGGCGGCGACGACGTTTTAAGGGTCGGTGGTGACAGCAGTGACAACAGTCAGCCAGGTCGGTCGTTTCCATTGTTTACTTTCCGACCCTCACATCATCGCCAAGCATATAAACATACGTCGCGTGTGCGGTCAACCTACTCGGCATCGTTGACAATGGCTTCCGGCCAACTAAATCCGGCTTCTTGTTTGTGTCCGCATGCGTTGTGTAAAGTAGCTTGAAAATCCGGCTTTGTTGATCACTGCTCTGGAAATCATTCACTCATTTCGAATCGAATCGAACCGAACGCAATCAACGGTAATCCTCGTTTAAACTCCAAGCAATGCCAGTGTCACCGGCAAAACGAGACGACGCCGAGGAAGCGGAGAAGGAGAAGGAGAAGGAGGAAAATGAGCAAGAGGAGAAGAGCAACGGCAGTCCTTCGACCACCACCACTGCGGCTAGAAGCGGCCGAGTAGAAGCGGTCATCAACGTAAAACCGGTCGGGAGGAACCACCTCTCGTTATCCCTCACGAATCCGCTCACCGACAATCGAATCTCGTTCCTGTATGGCGGCGGTGGCGGCGGCAGTGAAATCGGGTCTGGTCGCGTACATCGAACGTCGTCATTGTCAGAGTCAACACAGGCGTCTACTGCTAACCGCTATTTCGCCTCGCCCACTTCTCCGTCATTTCTGCATCTGGGCCAACTGAAAACCGGAGTCGTGTCCCGCGTCATTAGGGCGATCAGTGACAGTCGCTTCATGAGGTCCCGCATGTTCAAACACTCGGCGGCACCGATGCACTGGTGTCACCCGCCGACGCAGCCGCTGCGTCACCAAGTGAGGACGCTGGCCAAGGATTTTGAGGACGGTGCCGCCGACCACATCGGACCTTTGAAATTGTACCATGCCGAAACCTACAAACGGGAGTTGAGGAAGATCACCTCTAACAAACTCGGACGAGTATTCCGCCGTATTCGATGCTTCGAGTTCCTTTCTACCACCGAAAAGCTTCTTTCCGACCAGCAGCTGGCACAGGTTCAATCAAAGGAGTTACCGCAGCTATCATCGCCACCTGACCAAACTCCGCACGTACCGAAAGTCAGCACTGCGCCCAACCTGGCGCCAAAATCCGGCAACGACCGACGCTTCAGCAGAAAAGAATCTTTTATCGCGGCAGTCACCAAAAACAAAGCCCAGTGCTTAGGTAATCCCTGAAGCCTTTATTATTTGTGATTGCTGAAGTTCAACACGGCGGTAGTTGTTTTGTTTTGGTCTGAGTCCAAAAGATTGATTCTTCGTGATTGATCGTTCTTCAGGGATTTCGATATTAATGGGATCACCTTCAGGGATTTCGATCCCGCTATCTTCTGTTTCATGTGCTGATTGGTTCCTTCGCCACTGAAATCGATCGTTACCTATTAATCGTACAACGTTTTTTCTCTTTTTCCAAAGACGGGTACAACGACTTTCACTCATTCCGAAAGTTTAACCCTTTATTTACTCTTGACCAGCGCTCAATTTTCCTTGACGCAGATTATCAGTAGCAAGAGATCCTCATGCGTTTTCAAAGATCTTTATTCGTTTTTGAGAGTAGGGGCAGCTGTTTTAGGGCTTTCCAAATGATATCGTCATCCCTCAGTCAAGCAAGCTTTAAGGGTTCAATCCATAGCGCGACAATCTCAGATACTCAATATATAGTCGAACAATCTGGCAAATAGCCGTCTTCCATGGAACTTTCTCAAGAGAATTTGCTTTGGGAATGTTGTGTCTATCTCACCAGATGTTCAGGTTGTAACAATCGCTATCTCTCCGACTGCAAAAGCAGCGGTTCAAAATCGAACATATGGTGTTCATTGTCAAGC